AGAGAGAGAGAGAGAGAGAGAGAGAGAGAGAGAGAGAGAGAGAGAGACCGGCAGCTGCTGGTACATCCTTTGGGCCTGCAACCTGTCCTGAGCAATGGGAAAGCTTGTCTGCACACTGCATAAAAAAGTCAGAATTTGTGCCGGTGGTACCATAGGGTGCCGTACGTTTTCAGTGTCTGAAAGCGTGTGGTGTTGTGTGATAGTGTGACCGTTCTGAACAGTTTGTCCTTGAGACATTATCACACGACAATTGGTACAAACTAACTCATTTTGAGCATACCCCACACTTGAGTCTTTAGGCTTGTACATACACCAAGCAATTGTCTAAGGGCATGCTGGTTGCCAGCTATGGCTCAACTATGATTGGAATAATTTCAGACATAAAATGTTGGTATTATTTGTTTGCTGATTTGTTCTTGTCCTACTCAAATAATCAAAGTAGGGGTCTCAGTTGATCTTTTTCTTTCTTACTTTGTGCTCTCCTCTAGATATCCGACTCCGGGTTCGTGCTGAATACTGCCAGCACGAGTCTGCACTTCAGGGCAACGTCTTCTCCAATAAGCAAGAGGCAGTGGAGAGACAATTTGAGCGCTTCAATCAGGCAAACACTATCCTCAAATCCCGAGACTTGGGCTCCATCATCTGTGACATCAAGTTCTCTGAGCTTACCTACTTGGATGCCTTCTGGAGGGACTACATCAATGGATCATTGCTAGAGGCCCTTAAAGGGGTCTTTATCACAGATTCCTTAAAACAGGCTGTGGGCCACGAAGCTATAAAACTGTTGGTCAATGTTGACGAGGAGGACTACCAGGCTGGTCGGCGTAAACTGCTCCGTAATTTGGTCACAAGTGGAGGGAGCCCTCAAGGAGCTACCAAAGACTCTGTATCTTAGAAAGAACTGCTGTGCCTCCCCCACAGGAAATAGGGTGAGATGTGGTTGTGTCATTTAAGGTACCTGAAGTGTGTGCCTGAAAGGAACTGAAGGACTTCTACACACCGCATTGATTCCTTGAGAGCTAAGGTCATAGGATATCGACATGGCACCCTGAAGCATAGCATGCAAGGTGATTTAATTTTCTTCACGGAGGAGAATGCTGATTAATGCGTGCATTGAATTTAACTAATTTCTTGTTTCTGGTATATTTGCTCATTGAAACACTTTTGTTAAGTCAAATGATAGGTGATCTTCACAACCTGTTCAAAGTCCAGTTCTTTTCATTACAGGAAAAACGCTGAGAAGTTACTCCCAGTGGGAGTTGTACCCTATTGTCAAACTGGTTATTTTATTCCAAGTTTTTTTAGGTACATTATAGATTGATTGGATCAACCCCAATGATAAGAGTGGTTTGTATGTTATAGAAAGGCACAGAGACCGTAGGACTTAAGGCTTTTACACACCAGGATTAACAACACCAAAATTCAGAATACTTCCGCACAGTTTGAATAGTTGATGCCTTTATTTACAGCGCCAAAGCTCAGAAAAATCAACCTTGTTTTGAAAAAAAGTATATTGCTTTTCTTGCTGCATAATATTTGCATTCTGTGTTTTCATGACAAAAACAATGGTTCGGAATAATAAAATTGACATGGAAATGAATTGCACCAACAAAAGAAAAATACCCAGGGTTTGTAAAGGCCTTCCGGTTACAATTTGTTTTTCTATTTCTTTCCGCTTATTATCCTACTTTCTCAAGACTGCCAGAGTTCTCTTGTCAGTAAAGATGAACCGTTTTAGATTGTTTTTTGATTGGCTCACATTTATTCACTCTCGACATTCTTGTGTCTTGGCTTTGTTTTAACAAATTCTTTGTTTTGCAATCTGGCTTGGTACCAGCAGCTGTGATTCTGGCCTAATGTGAAATTTCAAATGTCCGATCACTGCCAATAGTTAAACATTTGTGGATCGTTTTAATGTGTTGAATCCTATCCAGTGAAACATTGAATCATTCACTGGTGCGTTAGATTTGTTTGGATTTGCAAATCAGTGCCAGTTTTATTGTCAGCCTGTACTTCTGCTCACTCGCTGTCTCATTCATGTTCTCTCCTGATACAACACTTAACTTTTTTTTTTAAATTTGAAATAACTCAACAGTCGGTGAAAGTCACAGCTAGTGTGTGTGGAGTCATCTCATTTGAGATCAAATCCATTAAATCCTTTTTTTTCTATGGAAATGTCATGCCTCTTGGTAGATCACGATGTAGGTCAGTCCACATGCTCAAAAGGCGTTATGAGCAAGAGTTGCACTGACTTCCTCATCCAGTCACTTGACGGCCTGCTGGACGTGTTGGAGAAACAACCAGGTATCTCCCTGGTGAGGGCAGGGGCTGTTACATCAGTCTTCGTCAGGAGGTGTGGCTTCTCCAAAGACATTTGTCGCTGTGGGACTAATAAAGGATTATCTTATTCACAAATCGAATTGGGGATTCTGTTATTAAGGTTCTGAAACAGAATATACCAGCACTGTGCGCACCAACATAGTAAAGTCATTCATGGTTATCCTACACAATTCAGTGTGCATATCTAGAAAAATGATGTGTTTCTAATGGCAGAATATCCCTTTTACAGTGTAGTAATAAATGCTAACTGCTATCCATTAAATTAGCTTTTAAATTCGGTGTGTGCCTGTGACAAACCAGTGTTGACAATATTAATGATAACAATTGTTGTGCAGTCATAAATAACACTCAGTGACTTTATTGGGCACACCTTTCTAGTTCTGGGAAGCCCCCCAGAGGAGCCTGAAATCCACATGACACAACGTCAAAAGGTCCTGACATACACAGCCAAGAGTCTGCAGTTATATGCCGTTGAGCTTCAGTCGGCAGTAGTTTTTGTGTGGTATGTCTCCATGTCAGCCCTTATCACAAGCTAATTAATAATGTATTATATGTTGCAGAATTATATTATTATATTCAAAGCATATGTCAAAATTGTTTAATTGGATTGACAGTGGCTTGTTTTTTATGTTCATCTTTCTGTTTCATACTTAGTGGATTAGGAAACGGACTACTACTGCCGGGTGCAGAACTTCCATGCATATTGGCGGCCAATGGCTTTAGGCTGTAATCTCCGTTCTGTGTTCAAGAGTAACTTTTCACAAAAAATATGAGTAAACCAACCTTATCACCAGACAAGAGTGTCAGTATTGGACGATCCTAAAAAATCCTAGATTATGTTTAGTGACAATGCCCTTCAAATTCCTGGTTTTCACAATATCTGAGCACAGCAGCTAGTATGCTATGGTAAGAGAATGATTGTGGTTACGTATAATAAATAGGCACATGTCAATGACCGGATTTAATTTCCTGTGTCCTAGATAGACACACACTTGCCATCCATCACCCCGCTTTACGCCCTTACTTTTGAATAGCTGCATAAAGGACGCAACTTCCGCCACTGAACATTCGTTGTAAATCACTTAATGTGTAATTGTCCAATTTTGACACAATTCCTCGGTATACTGGAATAGAGTCAACACCAATGTCAAAGGGGGCGCCATAAGTGTACATTTTCAAAATATACAAATTGTGGCTTTAAAAAAAAAAGAAAGAATTTGACACTCAGTTTCCATTGAGTCATAACCAGTCCTAATACACCAGTAATGGCATGTTTGGAAATGTTTCAGTAATAATACATTGAAGACGAAACATAATGCTGTTTTGTGATTATTTTTAATTTTGTAACAGAAGTAGGTAAGAGACTGAATGTCACTTTAGTTAATTGTGATTTGAAATGCCAGTCTCTAATGCTAACATTTTTTCTTTTCTGTTCAGTGCAAGTAGCCAAACATGACATAAAAAAAATCTGTGTACCCTTTTAAAAGGTGAGTGTATTTCTTTCCCAAATATATTCTTCCTGCTAAAAACGCCCTATTTTATCTCTGCTGTCGCACCATCCACATTCTAAAACACATAAGTCATGATTGACAGGCCACTATTACTGTGAATTATAGAGTAGGCCTACATTTTATATTTTTACTCCAGTGGAATTTCATGTAAATGTTGCAAGTTAGTATCTATTATATAGGTTGGTGTATGTTATGTTGATTGTATGTTATGTTAGTCAAATGCAGCTGTGTCTCACGCAAAATTGCATGTACCTGTAACCTGTTCTCTCCACAAATGTCATAGAAACACATTGCTAATATTTTGTAAATAACCTTATTGGGTGTCAGTTTTTCTTACATCAATTTTGCTTTTCTCAGAAAACAGACAAGTAGAACTATTAATAAAATTAATGGATGGGTTTTGTGAAGTCCCAGTCCTAGTTTTCTTTTCATGTAATACGACTCCTGTGAAAACAAATTTTGGGCACAAAACACTGAACAGTTTTCCAGACAAGAAAATATAGAAGACGTATCTAAACAAGTGGCTTCCTTATTAATCAAACCTTGTACCACTTTGACACAAACCCTGTGAAATGCGGAATGTTTGAATACATGTTCAAACTGTGTATGATGATTAACATTAGACTGGTCCTGGCTGCATCTCATTTCGCTTAGACGTGTCCTCATTCCTCTCAGTCACCTCTTGCGCCTCGGCTTGTCACACTAATGTCGTGTGAAAGACATATAAGAATCAGAATCAGAACCGTTTATTGCCATGGTATGTTGAACATACAAGGAATTTGACATGATGGGAGGTGCATAACTTTTAACAATCAACAAAAATCAACAGTGCAAAGGAGAAACATATTAAAATTTACAGAAAGATATAAAGTAAAATATAAAATAAAGTGAAATATAAAATAAAGTGCACAAACGAACAGATAACAGGACTATAAACAACGAACAGATAAGACTATAAACAAGTGAGATGTAAGTGTTGTGTAAAAGTGTCGAGTACAACTAAATAAGAATAAGGAAGGAGAAATCCAAGCAACACATTTTGTCTGATAAATTTGACAAGCCAATTTATTTGGGCCATGAATGTTCTTGCAGAGATTTGAATGTATGTTGGTGGGTTGTCCTCTTGACTTGTTGACCACTAAAAGTAAACTTTGCTGTATGTTTCTATATGCCATGGATACTATACTGAGTGACATCTATAAATATATTGATTATCAAAATGAGCTTCAACTAACCACAGCTACAGCAAGTCTGTTTTCAATTTGATTGATCCAATTTTGCACAAAATAATGAAAATGTACTGGGTAGTCCTGTGTACGTGTTGTTCTAGATGGTATTTTCATACAGTGTATTTATAGACTTTGCTGTCCGTTAACTTACTCATTAATCTGAGTTTAGTCACTGCTGCAGCAGACGCATCTGTAGGGCAGTCAAAATGACTGATTCATTCAAAACATAATTTGTTCATGTTTTTTTAATTGCATAAGTGAGTTATGGATACAATCAGTCATTGAGTCTTATTGAGGGCAGTGGTTTACTTATAATTATCATGCCAGTACAAAGTCAACAGTGGGAAGATGACAGGAAGTGAAGACAGAAAGGCATTGCAGTTCGTGGTCAGTCAAGAGGAACACTTTTTTTATAATTGACCGATAGGAAGAATAGAAAAACATAACTGCAGCAAAAAGCAAGACGTTTGCAGCAAATAAGGTAGGGAGGAATTCTGGCAGAAAACTGCGAATCACAAAAATTTATAAATTTATGTATTTATTTTACTTCGTTATTTCACACGTTCATCATTGTATACCATAGTGTAAGAATTGCATATTGCATCACAATATATTAAATCAAACCAGTGTTGAGATTATGTTCATGTCCACCTTGTTACTTTTTTTTGCAGCACCCCCCGCAATAACCCCCAAGGGACCCGGTCGAAAGCCTTCTCCAAGTCCACAAAGCACATGTAGACTGGTTGAGCAAACTCCCAGAACCCCTCAAGTAGTCTTGCGAGCGTGAAGAGCTGGTCCACTGTTCCACGCCCGGGCCGGAATCCGCACTGCTCCTCTTGAATCTGATGTTCGACAAACGGTCGGAGCCTCCTTTCCAGCACCCTAGCATAAGCCTTCCCCGGGAGGCTGAGTAGTGTGATACCCCGGTAATTCGATCACACTCTCCGGTCCCCCTTTTTGAAGACGGGAACCACCACCCCGGTCTGCCAGTCCATGGGCACTGATCCCGACCCCCATGCGACATTAAAGAGGCGTGTCAGCCAAGACAGCCCAACTATGTCCAGCGCCTTCAACATCTCAGGACGGATCTCATCCACCCCCGGCACCTTGCCACCATGGAGCTTTTTGACTACCTTAGCGGCCTCCGCCAGGGTGTGAGCTCCCCACCCCTAAGTCTTGAGGTGCCTCCTCTCCAGAGGACATGTTGGTTGGGTTTAGGAGTTCCTCAAAGTGCTCTTTCAACTGCCCGACAATGTCCCCAGTCCGGGTCAGTAGTCCCCCCCCCCCACTGAGACTAGCCTGGGGTAGGCCCTGCTTTCCCTTCCAGAGCTGTCGGATGGTTTGCCAGAACCTCCTTGAGGCCAACTGAAAGTCCTCCATGGCCTCTCCGAATTCCTCCCATGCCCGAGTTTTAGCATCCACTGCAGCTGCAGCCCTTCTGGCCTGCCGGTACCTCTCAGCTGCTTCAGGAGACCCCTGAGCCAACCAGGCCCTGAAGGCCTCCTTCAGCTTGATGGCTTCCCTCACCTCCGGTGTCCACCACCGGGTTCTCGGGTTGCCACCATGACAGGCACCGATGACCTTCCGGCCACAGCTCCTAGCGGCTGCATCCACAATAGAGGGTTTGAACATGGTCCATTCGGATTCCATGTCCCCAACCTCCCTCAGGATGTGTGAGAAGTTATTCCGGAAGTGGGAGTTAAAGACCTGCCAGACAGGGTCCTCCGCCAGACGCTCCCAGTTCACCCTCACTATTTGTTTGGGCTTGCCGGGTCTTTCCAGCCGGTTCCCCCGCCATCTGATCCAACTCACCACCAGGTGGTGATCAGTTGACAGCTCTGCTCCTCTCTTCACCTAAGTGTCCAAGAAATACGTCCGCAGATCGGATGATACGATTACAAAGTCGATCATAGGTCTCCGGCCTAAGGTGTTCTGGTACCAGTGGCGGGTCATGCATTTTATACCTGGGCCTTCAGTGCTGTCTTGCAGCTGAAACAACACCTAATAACCTCATGATGGCGCCACAGCTACGGTTATTTGCTTCTAGGAGTTTAATAATACACGTATTCGTATTAAACCATTCGGGACGAGGCTTACAAACCGAACAATACGTTTGAATAATACTAGTGCATTTGGAAAATTCTGAGAAGCTAGGCTAAACTAGCTTAACAATCAACTCCGCGCATGACGGTAGGCTTCGTTTCTCCTCCTTCAGCCATTGAGTGTTAAAAAAACAAAGCTAGGTATAAAAAAAAGAAATCTACACCAAGCAAAATGCAAAAAATGTCATAATTTCTTCCATATCTTTCAATTGGAACTCTTACTACTCCGACTAAGCCTCTGATGGCTATTTTAAGTTTTGTTTCACAATAGTCACGTGCTCGCCCACTGACCAATCACAGCACACGCTGCACCTCACTGCAGAGCTGCACCTGGAAACTGAGCTGCACGTAATGCTGACGTGGTTGTAGGCCAGCAAGCAGGCTCTGGCACGTCAAAGAATACGCCCAACATGTCAAACTAAAGATCTGATTGGTTGAACACCATGACAATCAACAATATCGTCCCCATTCACTTAAACTGCAAAGGGATTCACTTGTGAGTCTGCAGGCCTCAGGCCTCTCTTCTTACCTCGAGACACAGAGGTGAAATCTGATTGGATAAAAGCTCTACTTACGACAAGCTGCACTGGATGCAGAGCAACTGAGGAAGACAGTAGCTGTGCAATGAGAACATAAGATAATGGGAAAAATATTTTTATAAATTATAATACATGTAGTGTATTTAAGAAAACATTTTAAATTATAAAATAGCTATAACTTTGTGATTCTGTTTAGGCCAGCAGAGAAGGCCTTGAAGGACCTGACGGCCCACCACTGGGTACCAGGTACACTTATGAGCCACCTTATGTTCATGGTGTTCGTTATGGCCAAACCGTGGCTTGCATAGAAGTCCAATAGCGAGACACCACTCGGGTTCAGATCGGGCAAGCCGTTCCTCCCAATCAC